CATTTAATTGGGTAGTTCCTCTGGTGGTCAGCTTAATCGTGGAGGATTGGCTAGCCTGACTCGGGCTACCTTGGTCCACTAGCTAGGGAAGTTGCAGAGACATCTGGAAACTTAGGTGACTACCCCCTGGCACCTGATTGGTTGTTGCTAAGGGGAAAGTGAGATAAGGGAAGAATAACTGGAGCTTTGCAGTTTTTCCCATAACTGGAACTTTAAACAGTTACAGGTTATGTTTTTAAGACAGAAAACTAAAAACTAAAAATGGCTGTGCTATTGTCCACAAGCCACTTACATATTTATTGGGTTATAGCATGCTTTTAACCTAAGTCTATGGTATACTTTATTCCTGTCCTCTCATTAATAGGACGAGAAGCAATGCTCTCCATCTCAAGGACTTGATCCCACTGTTTATCTACGTGCCCAGGCCAAAAACCTTGAAATCACCCTAACCTTCCACATTCTTTTTTATCCTACTTCCAAATCATAAGCAAAATCCTGTCCTTCATGACTTCAAAATAATTCCAATTTCTATCTTTTCTTGCCGTCTCCATCATGATCTTTCTATTCCCTGCCATTATGGAAGATATATATATATCTTCCATATGTATACATACACACAAAGGGTGCCCCAAAAATGTATACACATTTTAAGTATGATGTTCACTCAATAGGTGGCATTCATCAAGTGAATGCTAGTGTTACCATGTGACAGGCAGGACAGTCAAAAAAATGGCAGAAGCATGACTGAGCAAACGTCCACACTACACATTCCACCATAATTGAATTCAACTTTGAAAATTAATACATAGATAGCATCTCTTAAAATGTGTACACAATTTTGGGCACCCTCTGTGTGGGTGTATAGATATATATCTTCTATATATTCCTTCCCATTATATTCAAGGAGGTAAATACAGGATTTTCTAACACTGGCTAAAAAGGCAAACACATTCAAGATTTGGAAGGGCTTTATAACGAAGTCATAAGCAGTGTCAGCATGGGCAAATCTGGTTACGAGGGTTTTTATTTTCTCTCCTCTTAGACCTGTCTTAGATTTAGAATCTTGAAATAGTCTTTTTGATCTCTGTCTAGCATGAAATCCAGGGTTGCTATTTTCAGGTTACTTTCAGTTCCAAGTAGCAAAATATCCAACTAGCATTGGCTTACGTTAAAGAAACTAACATCTAGCACTAAGTGCTAAGATATGATTTCAATGGCTCAAAAATCACAGATTCTTTCCCTCTTTCTGCTCTTCTAACCTCACTGTATTGGCTTGTCCCAAATTCTCTGATGCAGTTCTAATTATCACATGCTGACAACTTGAGCAGAAGGGTAACTACATCTTTCTTGTATCTCATTAAATGCTAAAACTGATTTCCCAGAAGTCAAGCGTAATGGCTTCTTTTATAATGTTTTGTAGCAGTGTGTAGAAATGAGATTCATGTATTTTTGAAAATCAATATAATAGGTCCATTTAATGTTCTAGTGTGAAAGAAGTGAGGTAGACAATAGCATTCCTGGAAAAGGCAGTGTTTGTTAACACCCATTTCAGAGATTCTTGGGATCCATGTGGAAAATAATAAATAACAAGAAATGATAAATTCTTTTCCAAGCAGGTCCAGCTGACATGAATTAGAAAACTATGTTTGCTTTCTTCCCTGGTCACGATTTTGTATCTACTGCAATATCTAGCCTTGAAAAGAAAAAAGGAAAAGATAGAAAAGCTGAAGCTTCGAAATCCTAGTTATTTTCTCAACATCCCCCACTGGATTGCTTGCAGTCCCCACGTTGAAAGACTTAAGTCCATGTAGTTACGTAGCCAGGTGCGGTGGCTCACGCCTATAATCCCAGCACTTTGGGAGGCAGAGGCAAGAGAATTTCCTGAGCTCATGGGTTTGAGACCAACCTGGGCAACATGGTGAGACCTCGTCTCTACAAAAAATCAAAAAATTAACTGGGCATGGTGGTGCACACCTGTAGTTCCAGCTACTTGAAAGGCTGAAGTGGAAGGTTCACCTGAGCCCTGCAAGTCAAGGCTGCGGTAACCATGAGCATGCCACTGCTCTCCAGCCTGGGTAACAGAGTAAGACTTCAACTCAAGAAAAGAAAAGAGAAGAAAAGAAAAGAAAAAGTCCATGTAGTTGCAAATGTGAACAAGAGGAGTGAATATCCGCCCCTCCCCCAGATTCTTTCAGAGTTCAGTCATTGTAAATTGGTTTTGTATTCATGTAGCTATCTTTCTATCGGTCCTCAATTCCAAATTCACAAAAATTAAAGATGACTAGTAAATGAGCACTAGGGAAAAGTCCCAACGCTGGCACTCAATAAAGATAGAGTGATATATGCTTCTTTCCTTTTTTAGAAAATTGGACAACAAAATTTTAATATTTATTAGAAAACGCAAATTTCAGGGCAGATCAAGTGTTTGGTTGGTTTGCTGGAAGCTTCACTTTGTTTACGTCATTTGGTTAGAACATAAGATGAACACAATCGGAATTAGAAAGAGAAGTAAGCATTAGTATCACAGGATGGTATTCCAAAACGCCCTACAACTTGATAGATGTTTCTAAAGTTCCATGTTCAATGTTCTGAATAAACTAGGTGGCTGTGCTCTACCCTTGGAAGTTAATAGTAACGTCTTTGTTTTTCCAGATACTGCGCTGGCCAGTGGTCATGCCACCGACTATTTATTTGTTGGGAACATTGTTTACACAGTAAGTTTATGTCTGTCTATTGAACCTTTCTTAAGCAGCCCCCATGTGGGTTATGCTTCTCTAAACCCTGTCTATAAGGCCTTCCTCACTATTATTTATTTAAAGCCTCCAAACTATATTTTTTAGATCCCTAAAGTTCCGAGTGGCTGAGAAATACTTATGTTGCTATTTCTGACAGTCATTCACAGTCAAAGTTTCTGGACAGTTGGTTAGTAGATCTTTCTCGTCTTCAAATGACCATTTTCCATCTACCTATGAAGGAAAACAATCAGAGGAGTGGTTTCTCCCAGATCATCCAAACTAAGAAAAGGGCAAAACTGATATTTGTGAGACAGACTATCACTAGAATGAGAACTCTTCTAGAAGTTAATCTCCCTATGTGTTCCCTAAAATAACCCCTAGAGAGTTTGGTACAAATATAGATGTTCTTTCAAACTGTAGCCTTGGAGGAACGAGTTCTCCGTCGAGGACAAGGGATTTCTCATAGAAAGTGAAGATAACTCACTGAGAATAAAATGTGTTTCCAAATTCTTCTTTCTCTTCACAGTATGTTGTTGTTACCGTTTGTCTGAAAGCCGGTTTAGAGACCACAGCTTGGACTAAAGTAAGTTTTCTCTATAACTGTTTCTTTCTCCAGCATAGATACTTTGCATTCTATGATTTCTTTTTAAGCCTTGGGGAAGCAGTAAGTGATATCTATGTATCTTATTTTAAATTTTGTACATAAAAGTTGTTACTTGATCTTGATGAAGACAATTTGCCATCCAGAGTTCCCTGAAGATGCATGTGTTTGGCACCTAGTTCAGTTCTAAACTATTAACAACCATATCATTACACACATGTTTGTATACATACAAATATATATAGAAAGTACGGAAGGACCAAAAACATTTAATTTCCATAATTTTACCACCAAGAGAGTCATTGTTAACATTCTGCTGTCGAAGTTTCCAGACTTGATTCTTTTTCTGCATGTGTGTGCATTTTTTAATAAGATGATGTGTTATAGAATATAGAGGTTGGTTTTTTATTGTTGTTGTTGTTTTGACTTGGGAGTCTCACCCTGTGGCCCAGGCTGGAGTGCACTGGACAGCTCACTGCAGCCTTGACCTCCAGGACTCAGGTAGTACTTCCACCTTAGCCTCCCAAGTAGCTGGGACGACAGGCATGCATCTCCAACAACCAGCTATTTTTTTGTTTTGTTTTTTTTAGTGATGAGATCTTGCTATGTTGCCCAGACTGGTCTCAGACTCCTGGGCTCAAGCAATTCAGAACATAAGAGTTTTATCATCCTTTTTTTACTTAAACATATGTTAGGCACGTTTTCTATGCCTTAAAGTGTAGTTCAACAAAATCATTGTTCACGATGAAAGAGGACTAAGTTTTGCAGATGTCTCGTCAGTCTCCTATTTGGACATTTTGGTTATTTCCAACGTTTGAGGACTGCCTCTAAAGCTTCCTGTCGGTCTCTCGTGACATGTCATGGCCTGGCTGCTGTTTAAATACTCTGTTAAGAAAAGGGAGGGATGCGGCAGGAGGTCAGAGTGCAATCAGGGAGTCCCCTAAGAAACTGTGGCAGTTAATCCAGGTCAGAGGTTAGGGTGACTTAGGTCGGGATGTTAGGGAAGGTAGTCAAAACCGGTGGAGTCTGAACTTATTTTATTATTTGTTTTTAAGCTAACAGAACTTGCAGATGGATTAGATTGTAGGGTATGGGAGAAAGAAAGACGTCAAGGATCATCTTATTAAGAGGACAAAGAAAAAAAGTTAACAACTCAGTCGATGCTTCAAGGGATGTTATTAAAGAGTAACATCCTTTCCAGGTTTAAAAAAAAAATGATTTGCAAAATGAACAGAACACTTAAAATCTTGAAATGATAAGTAAAAGTATATTGCTTGTTTTGTCTGCACAGCTGCTGTCTTACTAGATTAATGAGCCCTTGCTCTGCAGAACCCAAGGTTGGAGCAGACACTTGCCATGAACTGGCAGACACCTCCTGTCACCGTGGGGCAGATCTTAGAGGGAGGTCAGTTGTGATGGCAAAAGCACGTTCATCTTCAGGGTAGTTTGGGTCTACTCATGGCTTTAAGTTCATTATTAAAAATTCTGAGATGGGGAAATTAGAAAGATCGACTTCCCCAATAACTGGTGAGTATTCAAAGTCTCTCCCTAAGGAAAAGTAGCCTAGACACAGGGATTACGTAGCAGGCAGAGTTGGGGTGAATCCTCCTGACCGGTGAGAAGCCCGGTCTGAATGTCTGTCTCCCTCTGCAGTTCAGTCACCTGGCTGTCTGGGGAAGCATGCTTATCTGGCTGGTGTTTTTTGGCATCTACTCAACCATCTGGCCCACCATCCCCATCGCTCCAGACATGAGAGGACAGGTTAGTGTTGCTGATCGCAAGTGTGCCTTCCGTGTCTTGTGACGGCACTGTTCTTCCACATGTGGGTGAGTGGCTCTCTGTGTCTTATGTCAACGATGAGCCTCAGGAGAGGCTGGTGTTACCTGCTTTCATCAAAACATATCTGGAGATAGACCAAATCAAAGCACCTGGGAGAGGTTGTCCAGTCCACAGAAGTGTGGCTGGAAATATGAGTATGATGAAAACTGTCTAGTGAAGTTTTCTGACTTACCCAGCATGTCCACGTTTCCATAATAAATTACGTGTTAATTACCGCAGTACTGGGATGCACAGTCACTGACCCTCTGGAAATTGGAGCTACTTTGGGTCATTCATAATTCAGGGATTCTGTTGATTACAATTTCGATGCCATTCTCTGATTTGTTTGTTCTGCTCTGATTGGTCCCCTGTAAAGGAAAAATCTAATAACTCCGTGAACTAGATCATTGATGAGTCAGAATCTCTCATGGCTCATCTTTTGAAACTAGAGAGGCTGAGATTGAAGACCTCTATACGTTTGACTATTTCTCCATTTTCTTTTATATTGTCTTTGTTCACCGTTTGAGATTGAACCATCAACAGTGACACACAGATCATAAAACCCCATGGTACTGGGTATGGAGAGGAAGGGGCTTGACCATCCTGTGGTTCCTCGATTCATTGACAAAGCTGTGCAATCCCAGGTCTCCAAGCCCACCCCACAGGCCCTATCTGGGGTCGCCCACAGCCAGCACTGCCCCTAGATCCTGACAAGTGACTGCCCAGGTTCTGGGCTTTAGGGACCTCTGCACTGGCCCTCCCTGGCTAGGTATGTTCCTCTGCACAGAGGAAAAAGCCACGATGCAGATGCACGGAGTCAGTCTCCCCACTTCTAGTCCATTCTCTGAGCTCCCAGGTCCCCAAGTTTCCTTCCCAAACAGCCAAAAGCCCACTACCCAGGTCTGCTTGGACCTCCCTCCAAGTCCAGGCCAGAGTATCCGCCTTGGGACCCAAGGGGCAGCTGTTTGCCAAGGATGTACTCTGAGTAGATCTGTGTCTGCACTGGCATGTCCACCCACGTTTGCAGGAAGATGCTTGCACTAGGGGATGGGACCAGGGGTGGGAAGGAGAGATCTGCGGGTCAGGCTTCCACTGACGTTCAACCCCAGGAATACGTCTTTTAGGGGCTAGCCTGTGCGTGGCACACCTGACTACGGTCTCTGCCTCAATTACTCTGCAGAAATGAACAAAACTGGCCAGGCCTGGTGGCTCATGCCTGTAATCCCAGCATTTTGAGAGATTGAGGTAGGAGAATAGCTTGGACCCAGGAGTTCAAGGACAGCCTAGGCAACATCGCAAGACCTCATCTCTAAAAAAAAAACTTTTTTTAAGTTAGCTGAGCATGTGGTCTGTGTCTGTATTCTTACCTACTCAGGAGGCTGAGGCAGAAGGATTGCCTGAGCCCAGGAGGTCGGGGGTGTGATGAGCTGTGATCATGCTACTGCACTCCAGCCTGGGCAACAGAGAGAGACCCCAACACACACACAAAAGTGAACAAAACCTCCTGGGTACACCTAAGTCTGGATCATGTCCAGAAGCTTTTTCTTGTGAAACAGTCCAGGGTGGCATTGCTTACTTTTCACCTGGTGAATCAGCCAATACCCCAGATACCCAGGACCTCCAATGAGTGTGGGTGCTGGGCAGGACAGAACTGCCCTGCAGGTACAAGCTTGAATGTCCTCCAGTACATCTTTGCTTTCTGGAAGGAAAGAGATATACAGAATGTGCTTTTCAGCTGTTTTCCAAATCCAGGCAGAGGAAATCAGAGGGCACTGGGTGAACCCAACAAAGACATTTTGTGCATTTAAAGAAATCAGTTCAATTGTACAGCGATGTGATTGGTCCCCATAAAACAAACCAAGAAATTATCCTCCCCAGGTCATCCTTTGGTTTGGCTACACTGACACTTGGAACATCTCGGTCATGTTCTCTTCCTTCTGAAAGGGCAGGCCTCCTCCATGATTATTTCATTTGGGTGGTGTTACAGTGCTGGACAGTCAACAAGCTCGCAGGCCATTGCTGTGGAGTTTCCTAACTGTGAAGAGAGTGACATCTGACAGGGTGGAGTCAGTTGGCGTGTGACTGGCAGACAAAGCCCCTCCAGTGCCATAGGCAGAGAGTTGTTCACGCAGGCCTCCTGTATACGAGTGGTGCGTGCCTTTAGTCCCACCTGCTCAGGAGACTGAGGCAGAAGGATTGCCTGGGAGCTTCAGTGACTTTTATTCACATGTGCTTGACTGAGGCTGGCTGCCTCGTCCCATTCCCATCTGGAGGTTGCTTTCAAACTGCAGAGGGACTGAGATGGTCACACAGCCACAAACATGCCAGCCTGTGATCCCAAGGCTCTGCTTAATGCGAAATGTACATATGAGGGGACACTTCCCGCAGATATTTGGGGACCTGTGCTCCCCATCCAAGAGCAAAGAGGCGATGGTATTAACCCATGTCTCACTTTTCTGTGGAAGCATTTTTTTTTCTTTTACTTGAGCCATGTTGTTTTAGCCCTTGGACTGGTTGGTCGGTCAATTGGTTGGTTTCCATGAGGCAAATGATGCTACGAAATAGAATGCAGCTGGGTGAGACTGAGGTTTCCATGAGACAGTAAGTGAGAGGATCGTGTCGTTTCCATGCATCTGGGTTTCCAAGCGGGTCATCTGCTGTCTGAGTTGGAAGAGCTGTGTCTCCAGTCTTCCTGGTAAGACGGGGAAGATGGGGTCGGGAAGCCACGTGTAACCTTAGCGTCCTGGATAACTTTTGTACCTTTCTACTTGCTGTCTGCCACTCTGTATTTTGAATCAGCAGTTTACTCTTTGAAATCGGCAGGGAAGTATTAAAAAAATATTTAGTGGCTAAGGTTAGCCTGAAGTCTCTGAAAGGCTTTCTGCTGACCCAGGGGGAATTATACGCTGTCATAAAGAGGGGCAGGAAGTGGATTCAGGTGCAATCAGTAAAAGGAATTGGATCCTTCGGGGCTTATTGGAAATATGCCTGAGCCCTGTCCATCCCTGGGATTCTGGGCTGGTGAATCACCATTTAAAGAGTGTGTCTCGTGATTTTTATAAACCCTTTTTTTGTAGTTCACTGAGTAGTAGGTTTTTGGCAAATGGACATGATTCTTTGAAGCTTGAGAATAAACTAGTGTCTAATAGCAAACGCCATTTCTCACCCAAGAGCCTGAGAGAGATCTGACACACTGAACATGTCACCCATTCATAACATCTCCAACCGTTGAAAAGACACATTGTTTCTCCCAGGGTTTCCTAAACGAATTTGATTAAATATTTCTTTGTCTCATCCATGATATCTGGAGTTTTTCTCAGGGGGGAGAATGCAGGTTTTCCCTTGAGGGCAAAGGAAAGGAAGACTGTAGAATTAAAGAGTTGTTCTCCACCTTCAAAGAGTCTTTATCTTCCCCTGAAGCACTTCATGAGATGGTATGTGAAACCCAACCAGACAACGAACCGGAAAGTCCCACTGGACATTTTTGAAATCAAAAAATTTATCTGTGCACTTCCTCTCCTGAAAATGTGCCACATTTGTGGGATCTTGAGGGGCACGCTGTTTTTCCATTTTTTGATTTCCCAAGCTTGAAAACTCGAGTCGTGTGTATCCTGGTGAATGCCAACACTGTCAGCTATGAAAAATACGTGGTGATGTTTTTTCTGCAGGAGACCATGTGTTTTTCTTCCCCGGGAGCATAATCATGAAATAACGACTTCTCCATAATGGGTCCCCAAAGGAAATACTTAAAAGAGGAGAGTGACAACATCCCCTTAGCTCACTGCCTTCTGCAGAGTTGCCTGCTGAAATAGAGCTTTGAATTAGAGGAGAAAAGCTTCTGGATCTAAAACCAGATCCAGAAATGTGCTTGTGTTGTCTTCATGTGTTTCCCATGGCTCCAACTTCAGGATTGCTAGAGAGGATGCCATCTTACTCGACCTCTGCTCAAAAGTCAGGACACATGACCAGGTTCATGCCCCAGCAAGGTATGTAACCTTTGACAAATCACTGTCCCTGCATCAGTCTCCTAATCAGCAAAGCCAGAACAATATTACCTGCCTTAATGACCTCAGAGGACTGCGGTGAAGATACAAATAACCCATGGAAAGTCTAAAACACACATACTCTTCTTTTTCCTGGAGCGATGAGTTGTTTTTTGAACTTAGTAGACATATTGCTGTGATTTAAACTCCAAATTCTTTTGGCCATAGATTCTTCACATTTTGTAGGTTCTAAATGGGGCATTTCTCAGTAAGGTCTGTGGACCACCTGTACCCAACTCCGAGCGCAGTGACAGTGACTCACACCTGTAAACCCAGCACTTTGGGAGGCTAAAGCAAGAGGATTGCCTGAGCCCAGGAGTTTGAGACTAGCCTGGGCAATACAGAGAGACCCTGCCTCTACAAAAAAATTTTAAAAATTAGCCAGGCGTGGTGGCACACACTGATAGTCCCAGCTACTTGGGAGACTGAGATGGAAGGATCACCTGTGCCCAAGAGGTTGAGGCTGTGGTGAGCTGTGTTGGTACCACAGTATTCCAGCCTGGGGGACAGAGTGGAACTCTGATTCAGTTACAAAAAATGACAGTCCCCCCCCAAATAATATATGTACAGGAAATCTCTCTCTCACACACACACACATACACACACTCTCTCTCTCTCACACACTCTGAATCAGAACCACTGAGTGTGGGGCCCCAGCGTATGAATTTTAGTAAATCTCGAAGTGATTCTTCCCCTTAAAGTCTGAGAACACCACTCTAAAACACCTAAAATATTATGCCACTGCAGTGTTTTGGCTCATGCTGGATGTCACAGGAGTCGATGGCACACTGAAGATACAACCAATCGGCTGCCATGCACAGTGCCTGATAAGATGTGGCTAGGCAGGCAGTGCAGGTGACCACTTCAAAGCAGCTAGCTTTCCAAACAGAACTGTACCAA